TGATTCTAGTGGATAGGCCATTGTTATTGTACTGATCATATCTTCATGACATTTGTTCATTACATAAATTAACTGATAAATGAACTGATAAAAATGTGGGTCGATAATAATAATAACGTTGCTGTTATGGCAGGTGATTACGGATATTATATCCTAAAGCTGACTACAGCACTGATATTGCTTCTCTGCTTCAGATAAACACCCACAATCCTTTGCTGCATCCAGATCACTGTCGTATGATTAAGCAAATGCTGAATGAATGGTACCCTACCCCTGCTGAATTAATATATATATATATATATATATATATATATATATATATATATATATATATATATATATATATATATATATATCGGCTGTTACAATTGTTACTTATGGGACCAATACCAATATAGGCTACTAAAAAATGCCCAACATTAGCCACTACGGATGTAAATGTAGATATATATTGTGCATCACTATGTAATACCATTATCAAAATGTCTGTGTTTCTCCAGTATAATATTCATATTAGAAAAAAATAACAAAAAAACAAATTTTTTACGTACGATAATATCAGATCTACACTTAAGTACAGAAGAAAGGGCTTCCCCCATCTACCTGATATTGAATAAACACTAATGCTTATTACTGTATAATGTGAACAATTTATGGTTAAAAAACAAAATATTTTTCTAAGGTTTCTACATTCTTACCGAATTGCAATAATGGGATCCATCGGTTATTCTAACATTAAAAGCATCACACTATTTTGTTCAAATGTTTCCCATAATAACAAGACTGAGTGGTGTTTTGCTTGGTTTTAGTAAATGCAGACGATTGGCTCAGTGATTGCTATTTTCATTTATCATTACAACTCAAATAAACCAACAGTCATGTTCCTATTTAATAACCCATAGTACTGGCCTTTTTGCACAAATGCCTTCCATTTTATTCAGCATTGATGTATTTAAGGTGTAGTTCTTGCTTTTCATTTTCTTCTGAAAAAATTGTTTTTTGTACAAGCTAGGGCTGAACCAATTAATCGGATTAATCGATTATTAAAATATTGTCAACAAATTTAGACATCGATTAATGGATAACTGGAGCATAGATACTGTGAAACGTTCCTTTAGCTGACAGAGCAACCCACTTAGAACAGTAATTATACCGAGATTGTAAAATACATATGTGAACATTTTGCATTTTAAATAAAAATCTTTTTCGTCTGTCAATATTCTCTATCCAGAACTACTAAAGTGGGATAACTTTTAGTCTCACCTGGTTGAATTTAGCAAAAAGACTTCTTTAAGGAACCTTTGGCTTTCAGATTATTATCGATTAATTGAAAAAATAATAAGAAAGATTAATCAATTAGCAAATTAATCTTTAGTTGCAGCCCTAGAACAAACATGCTCCAAACAGAACATTGGTGTTCAGCTTCAGTTGATTCTGTTGAAAGTTTGAGTATAATTTTATTCTAAGCTTTCTGACCATGTTCTCCTGCCTACCACCACATTTCTCCTCTGTTTTTTCCTCTCCTTGGGATTTGCCTTTGTGTGAATGTGTGTGTGTCATTAGGTGGTGAAAGCAACCAAAGCTGAATCATCCAGAGACACACACACACACTCACACACACAAAGCCAGGAGCTATTTGGGCTCTGCTGCAGACGCTACCCCTCCAGTGCTGGATGAGTCCAGGTTGGACTCATACTTTACTATTCATAATGCTACTGGACACACAGCAGCAAATATGAACCAGTATTTAGATAGATGATATTATAAAATCAATCTTTAATCTGTATAATCTTAAATATTTCAAAATCTACTAATCTAGTGCTGAATCTATTCTAAAAATTCTAATATTTACAAACAATAATTCATCTTTTTTAAATGTATTAGACATGATGAGAAGACAAGGACATAGCAGTGGTATTTAAATTATGCCTGAAGGGAAAACTCCTTAACAAGCTGCACAGCATTTGTATGAACCATTTAAAATAAGCACAGCAAGGAAAAAAAGACAGGAGTTCTTTTGTTCAACTGGCAAAACCAGAAAGAAAATTGTCAGCCATGTTAAAGTAGCTTTATCTAATATCCCCTTATTATGTTGGCTTTTTCTTTTTCTTTTTTTTCTTTTTTTTTTACACTGGGGGACATCTGCTCTGTCTCACCTGCCCAAAGCATGAAAGAAAAGTACTTATGAGGTTTGAGAGGTAAAAGGGCCAACAGAGGAGTAACAAACTGAGCCTGTTCTTACCTTCTTTTTATGTCCCTCCACTTTGTAGAGATTCCAGCAAATCGTCTGGATTGCCTCTTTAACAAATCCTAAAGGGCAGCCATCTTGCCTTCTTCTGTTCTATGAAACAGTCTCTGCTCCACATCAATATTCATGGAAATAAGTCTGACGTTGGCTCTCATCATCAGGAGAAGTCCGGGTGTTGCTGTTTTGCCGGCCGGAGGAGCATACTTGTGGGTCAGTCTAGAGTAAGGCAGCTTAGGCACGGATAAAAGTGGAGAAGATCCTGCTGCAGCTCAAGGGGAATAGCCTCCCTGTAGAAACAACCTCCAAAAAGACAAATTCATAAAAAAAAAACACTTTCCTGCTGAGTCCTTCTCACACAAAGAGACAGGTCCCCCCCCCCTCAGCTCCCTCTTTTTTTCTTCCTCCCTCAGCCGTACACAATAGTGAACACTATGATGGCTACCCTGAAGCACTGGAGTGGATTTCTGTGCAGAAGGCAGGACTCCACCCCCCTAACTAGTGCACTTTGTGTTCAATATTGCATGGGTCCCAACTGTCTGACTGAGGCAGAGCAGAAGCTGCCACCACCTCTTCCTTTTAATAAGACAGGAAGTTAACTCAGGGTGACTCAGGGGTTTTCCCTCCCTTTCTCAATGCCTATTTTGAAATTTGGTCTTTTTCTTTTTTCAGTTAGGTTTAGAGACTTTCCATTTTGTGTAAAAGACCTGTTTTAAAGTTATGATCAAAACTAGCCATCTTATTTTGGAACACCGTTGGCTCATTTTTAGAGAAACTCTGCTGCTTGTGTGCAAGAAGCACAGTTTACCTCATTCCTCTGCTGAAGATCTTCCTCCTCCTGTTGACACCGGCCACGTGGGCTTGAGAGAGATATATATCTCCTTCAAGCATGCATCAACTGAACCTTTACGCATAGCTTTTCTATATCTATAAAGATGTGTCAGGTTTCACTTAGAGCTGAAGATTATCACACATTTGACCCCAAAATGGCTAAATAACACTTTAATTTAACCATTAGAATCCAAACTAACAGGTGTGTCTTCTCTGGAAATGATCCACTTTTTGCCGTGCTTCGGTCTTAAGAAAAGGAGACCCCTCCTCCTACTCAGAAGCCCCCGTCTAGCTGTGGTGACATTTGTTGACTCAATACTTTCAGAGCAGAAAAGGAGATTTGTTTTTACACAGGATGGGGGAGGGTGAGAGGCAGAGAGGAAGGAGGAGTCAAGTCTGGACTCCAGCACAGATCCTGCACAGATGGAATGAACACTTCCTCTTTGGACTGCTGATTATTACTCATACAAAAATAGGGTTGAGCTCAGATCATGAGATATCTTTGTTAACAACAAGCTGTTTTATGCCATCCCAATAATGAAGCTAGTTCACTAATTAAACACCCCATTAAAACAGGACAGAAATGTCTAATAGATCCAGAAGAGTCCCAGCAGAGGTGGAGATACAGTTAAATCCAGTTATTTACCTAGAGTTTATCAAAACACTCACAAGACTCTTTTTTTTTTTTTTACATCTGACATTAAAACCGGATGAAACACTTCCTGTTTTAGGGGTGTTAGAAATACCAAAATATGTCCTCTTCCAAATCTTAATTTTCACACAATCATCACACATTTGTTATATTTATATAAAATAAGAAGATTGAATTATTGTTTTATTTTAATATACGTTCAAGGCACAGTGTAATTTTACAAGTTCTACTTGATATTAAACATTAAATAATGGTTCAGTGGCTTTATCTGCTATATAATGATGTAATAACTCTTTATCTTTGGTTTAACATAAGGAATATGGATATATTTAGTTGTATCATTCGTCCCAAATGTTATATAAGTAGCTGCCAATACAAGCAGCTTAGTATAATTTATACAGCAACAACTTAAGACATCAGCCAGGAATGTGAATCTTGGTCACAAATGGATTTCCCTAATAGATAATGACTCTGAGCATAAAGGAAAATACATTCCAAAGTGACTTCGGGACAACAAATCAAATGTTCTGGAGTGATTGTCACAGAGCCCTGATCTCAGGTCTTCTAAAAAAAAAAAAGTGTGGGCTGAACAGAAACAGTGTGGGCAAGAAATGCATCACATAAACCCGACTCAGCAACACCAGCCCAAACTACTGCCAGTGAAGAGAAAAAAAAAACTAAATGTTAAAGCTAAGTTAAACAGTTTAAAAGGTAATTCTACCAAATAGTAGAAAGTAATGTAAACCTCTGAATCTGAAGATAGTTTAAAATGATCTTTATTGGCATTTTAACCTACAAGAAAACACATGTTAATCCTAAATGACCTAAAAAAAAGGAAACAGTTCATCTGATTAAATGTCAGAGAGGAAAAGGTTCATTTTTACACAAAATTAGTAAACATATATTGATTATAACTGTGTAAAAAGTGTTTTTGTTTTTGAGCCACAGCTTCTGTCGTAAGAAAACAATTTTGAGTCTAAGTTCCTTCCGCAGCTGAGTAAAGCTGCCCCTGCCACCGCTATATGTGCTTTGTGACAGTACCTCTCATCCCCGCTGCAGGACTTCCACTGGTTGCCTCGGCTGGTTTCTTCCATCTCCCTGTTTCCCTGTTTCCTCAGGCTACAACTGAAAAACAACAATATGTTCAGTCAGTATTTCCTGTCACATAACAACATTGATCCATAAGATAATAAATAACATCTGTTGCACCTATCTTTAAATTCAATAAACCAGTGCAGGCCAGAACATTCTGTTGGGATCCTCAGGCTTGCCACCAGAGGGCGCCGATGATCCTCCTCTGTTTTATGTTGTTTTTCTGTTAGGACTGGGGTTACTGTTGGGATCTGGAGAGTTACCATCTGTCTCCAGCAGAGTGTGCTGTGGGTCTCCTGGGCTGGAGCCCTCCAGCACACCTGAAGCTCGTCAGCCCATCAGGAGACCTTTCCTACTTAAGCAGCGACCAGACCTGTCTTTAACGCCGCAGTGTTGACTAAGTTTGGTTAGCGAACCTGAGCCTCTGTTACTTGAAAGAATCTTAGTAGTTCTCAAGAGAGAAACCAGATTCTAACCTGCCTCTGTCTTCTTGCTCACAGGAAACC